TCTCCACCCAGTTTGAGTTGTTATTGGTGATGCGTTTACTAATTGGTGGCCGGCGTATTCGCTGATTGGTTGTCGTGCGCACGGGTTTTCCACCAACTTTATTGAGCGTTTGCTCATTTTTGCTGTTGCTGTCGGCGATGCCGTGGACATCGTTCTCCCACACCCACCCCCCCTGGACCTCCACCTTCCGTAGCCCGTAGGAACCGCTCGATTATGGGTAATCGAGTGTCTAGTCCATCACGTACAGCATACCATAATTTTTTGACGCTGTGTGCTCCCTATTGCATAGCGCGGTGTGTGGAGGTATATCCCGGAGCAACTTTTTTTTTTTAATAGTCTTGCACGTTTTTCTTGTTCTGTTCGTTTCTTTCGGGCTTGATCGTCTCGCGCTCGCTCTGACGGTATGACACCTTTTTTTCTTTTTCTCTTTGCGGTAACACATTTTGGCCAAGCACAGCGCTCTTGGGATACCGCCCCCCCGCCCGCACACACCTATACATACACATTGTTATCGATGATGAGTGAAGAATCGAGGGAAGCTGTTGTAACGGATCTGTTATTTGTTGCCGTTTGTTGCAAAAATATTTGGGCTGCCCTCTTTGTATTTTGTGGAGTGTGCATGACGCATTTGCGCTCATGGACAGGTCGGTGTGTGTGTGCGCGTGCGTGCGCTGCCATCTATTTTTATTTATTTTAAGAAAAGAAGCCTACCCCGCCACACGACTGACCATCCAATAGACGTCCGTCCGCGGGTTTGATCGGGTGAACAGGTAGTAGTGAGTGCATATGTGTTTTTTTGTATTAGCATCGACCGCGCTAACTGGCTGAATAATGAAAAGACGTTGTCAGTCTCAGTACGGTTGAAAACAAAAAATGCTTCTAAAGTGCGTGTGTGTGCATGCGTACACTTGCGCAACATTGTTGTTGTCGATTTTTTGTGCTTTTTCGCTGCCTTCGGGGACTTGTCAATTCCGCCGCCCGGTTTGGGTATATTTCGTTTGTCTTTTCGTCTTGGTCGAAGTCGTTGGCGGGGGGTAGGCGGTTGGTTGCGTTTGTTGACGGTGGGGATCGAGTCGTTCCTTCACAAAGAATTAAGCCCCCCCTCCCGTGTGTGTGTATGGTGCTATGTATGTTCTTTGGTTAGCATCGACCGCGCTACTAACAGAAGAAAAAACGTCAATTGTGTTGTTGTTGCGGGAGGGTGTTGGCATCATCTCTCTTGATTGAAACGGTTTTTCGCTATGAAAAACACGTGCACTGACTGGCTGCTGCTGGGGTGGTGGTGTTCGGGTTGATCGGCGGTGCGTGCTTGCGTGCACGTGCGGGTCTTCAAGCTAGCATCGCACGCAGTGCTCGTCCATCCGCTGAGGAGTGAAAAAGACAACAGATATTCTTGGCGACGGCAGGTTTGGTTGGCAACAGAACGCCGAGACGTATTTTGTAGGCCGCGCTCCCTCCCTTTGACAGAGGGTGTTTGTCTGCGGCCGGGCGATAAAATATCTCGCGGCTTGTTGGATTGGTTGCCATCTCGTTCGTCCTGTTGCTGGCTCCGCGCCAGGGCCTTGGGGTTCCATTTGTTGTGGGCTTGCTTGTGAATGTCATGGATGGCTTGGAAGAGCCGATAAGAGATGCAGGGATGCACACACGTGCACGATGTCGGCGGTGCTTGTGTCTGAAGGGCGGGACCGCTTCTACTTTTTGCCGACTGTCTGCCCCCCCCCCCCC